CAGAAGCCAACCCCTGAAGGAAGAAGCCATGGACTTATAAGCTTGAAAACCACAGCGGGGGATGGGTGTATGGGCCAGATCAGCTGTCCAAGGAGGCACAACAGGTACATTTTGGGGGTGGAGTTGTGAAATCCAGGAACATCTCAGTGGGCACTGTAGTTTTTGGGAAAGTAAGCAGGTGTCTTTGTGGTGGGTGCTGACAACTGTCTTTGTGGCTGTTTTTGCTTTTCTGCTTCTGTGAAAGCTTGTGGGGGTGCATCCTCTAACAGGCTACACCCTTTAACTCTCTCTTCCCCTCACCCAGAAGCTCAGTGCTCTTTCAAGGGGGAAGTGGAAAACAGAAAGTCCTTGGCCCATGATAAGCTATCTTTGGTTTGTAACTGTGTTCCCAAGCATGTAACTGAGAAGCATGTTCTGTAACTTAATGTGTTCAGGATGGGACAGAGTCCAAGACTAAGCCCCTCCTGTTTGACAGAAAAGACAGAACTTACTGTTTTCCACACCTTGATGAATAGCACTTGGCTTCTTTCCACAGTGGTCTCCTTATGAAATAATCAGGTAGTCATGTCCTTGGTTCTTGCTCCTAATAACGCTCTTTGTTGTTCACACACGTTTAAAGAGTTCCTAAATATTTATGATCTGCTTCCCTTTTAACATTCCATCCTGCCATTGTTTCTCTCTTTTCACATTTTCATTATAGGCAGGTAAGAAAAGCCAAGTGTCATTGTTTTTCTATTGCTGGGACAAAATACCCAATTCCTGCAACTCACAGGAGAGGTTTTCTTTGGCTCATGGTTTCAGTCCATGATTGGCTGCCTTCAAGGTAGAAACGGGCAGAGGAGCACTGTGCAGGAAAAGGTGCTTAACTCATGGGAGCCAGGAAACACAGGAGCAAAGGAGGAGCTGAAAACAAGAATACAGTGTTTCCAGTTATGTCTTCAGTGTGTGACCCACCCTCCAACCTGACCCTACCTCAAATGTGGGGAGCAGCTGAGCTAGAGATCAACCACACATTCACGGGTAGGGCAAGGTCAGCCCCTAGAACACACAGTTCCAGCCAGGTAAACAAGTTAGTAGAACTAGAACAAGGCCAGTCTACCAGGTGTCTGATCTTCCTGGTCTTTCAAGCACATCATAGCTTTGAGATTGTTTCACTTTCAGTGTTTTCAACAAAACACTGAGACTTTGCACTTTTGATTCCCATGCATGCTTCCCCACTTTTTACCATGTATAAATAAAGAGGCAGGGTTGCTCTGGGTTGTTGCTGCCTCTATCAGAAAGGTTAGGTCCCAACTGGTCCCAGCTTTCTTGTTAGTACCTGTCTATAGTTTCTTCTTAATCTCCCATCCCCTCCTCCCAGGACTCCCCTGGCCGTGCAGGTTGTAGCAAAATATGAGGTATTTGGAAGACATTTGAGATCTAAATGGTAATACCACACAGCCCCTTACTGTTTTGCTTACATATTTCTTCTGCCAAAAATCCCATTTTGTTGCTCTTAAATTCTCCCTCCACAAAGTCCTTCTGCAGGCACACAATTTGGCTAAATGCTTTGCCATGGCCACTTCTCATTTCTGTCTGAGATCTCATCAGAATGGACTTCACTCTCCGTATCTCCAGCAAGATTTTGCACATGACTACCTAGATAATCTCTTTAAGATTAAGAGCTCTCTATAGCTCTTCTGAGCACTCACCAAAATTGCCCTTAATGCTTCATTCATGGTAACAGGGACTTTATAGCCTGATTTTCTAGATTCTTGGCCCCTCTGCCTATTACCCATTTCTAAGGATGAGGCCTATCACCCATTAAGGACTATACCCGCATCATGGATTGTCCTGATGTAGTGATCTCTCAAGGGCTGCCTTCCTAACTGAGAGAAAGGAAGTCAGGCTCTTTCAAGAAGGCAGACATCTTCATTATTGTTTTCACGGCCCTCACAAGTCTCTTTCTACTGCTCAGTTATCTAGATGGGGATTGAATTTTGATCTCCTGCCTCAGCTTCCAGGGTGCTAGGATTATAGGTGTGTGCCATTGCACTCAGTATAGATTAATGTTTTTCAGGTATGGGTTTATTCACACTTCATTTCTTTTTTAATGGATGAATACTGTTTCATTTTTTGTGTGTGCCATAATATATCTAATCATCTGTTGATGGCCATTTGAAGTGTTTCCACCTTTTGACTACTGTGAATGGTACAAGTATAATTTTTTAAAATTTTATTTTAAAGAGGACAAAGAGTAAAACCAATCAAAACAAGCCAGTGTAAGATATATAGGACTTCAAAACATTAAGAAATCAACAGTAGTTACCATAATGCCTTTTGATGTCTTCCAAAAGCTGCAGATAACTTTGGTCATAGTAAAAATCAAACAGAACAGAATAGAATAGAAACAATAAACACAAAACAAGCAATAGAAGATTTCAAAACAAGCCAATAGTAAATCCAAAATTGCTACCATCATATATCTTGCTATCTTTGAAATAGCTGCTCCTGCCATCAAATTTGACATAATCAAACAAAACAAAGGAGAATAAAGCCTAACCCCCCAAAACAATGGAAATGATATAGGACCTCAAAACAAGACCATAGAGAATCAACAATGGCTGCAACCCTCAGTAGGACATCCCTCCTAGATGCCACACTGCGTATCACTATCCTAAGAATCCATGATCAGACTACTGGCCCTAGACCTGCCATATTAGTGAAACACCAAAGCACCACAGGCATCCAATTGCATCTCACTTCCATAGCTATCATCACAGCCTATGTTTCTTCAGATAAGCCAGTCACTTATTGGGGGTTCAGGGATTGGTACTTCTTGTTTGCCAGCCTGCGCGCTAGAAGGGGTTTGGATCTAGTGTTCCCAGTCCCGCAGTGCCCCACGCATGGTGCTGGTTCCCAGACTGGGCTTGTTGGTGCAGCATTTTTCTCTCTCCCTCCAGTCCACAAATCTCAGTATGATTTTGTATGTACATGTTATTTTTTACTATTCTTTTGGGTATATACATAGAATTGGGGTTTTCTTTGTTCCCTCACCCCTAGAATTGTTTAATCATGTGATAATTCAGTGTTTAACTTTCTGACTAGCTGCCTGTTTTCCGTATTGGCTGATTTCATTTTATATTCCTACTAACAAAATACAAGATAAGTCTCTCCACATTCTAACATTTAATTTCTTTCTTCTTTCTCTTTCTCTTCCCTTTTCCCATTCCTTTTCTCTCGCTTTCCTTTATCAGTGAAATCAGGAAAACTGAGCCTGCCAAAGTTTATTTTCCAGCCTTTCAGCCTTTTTATAATGCTGCCAAAAGTGATCATACCTGACATCTTGGCTTGTTGATCTCAGATAAGTTTCACCAAAGGACTTCTCTTCCAGGAGCTGCCCAACCTCTGGGACCTCCTGCAACAGCACACAAGTGCCATGATGGTGGATAGAGGGTCCTTAGAAACTTTACAAGCTTGTTCCTTTCCACCTCTGACTTCTATGCCTTCTATTCCTCCCTTACCCCTAGAGGTGTTGACAGGGAATTGATAGGAGCTGAAGAGCAGTGTTCACTTTTAATCCCATAGAGTCCAATTTACAACTGAAGCAGTTAGGTAGTGACCACATCTGTGAACTCTGGGTCAGTCTTGCCAGTTCTCTGTTCATCAGAGGACTGAAATGATGTAATGTGGCCCAGTGGACAGTTGCATGTCACAGACAAATTGTTGTGTTCCTTGACTGAAAGTCATTTTTCAGGTTCTAGAAGCTCTTGAACTCTCAGAAGTTTTTTATATTTTGTTGTATGTTGTGGCCTATGTGTGTTTCTTTAGGGATTAATTCCAAACTTTCATTTCAAAGAGGCATATAATCCCTAAAATCTTAAGCACTCCTGAACTAAAAGCCCAAGATTCAGAACCGGCATGAGTGTTTACAAGTGTTGCCCAAACCAGTGTCTCTAACAAAGGCAGAGGTGAGTAATATATGGTTTATGCACATCATGTGACTTTGTATATAGTCATAAATCATATTTATTCAATCGTATTAGATATAATTGAATATAGATTAGATATTAGGTGATGATAAAAGATGTAGAATCTATGTTGTCAAATGTGGGTGCCATTTTGTTAGGTGCCATTCCTTTAGCGAGGTAGCCTCAACTACTTAGAGTTGAAATACTATCAAAACTATAATTTTTTTAAAATTTTATTTAAGGATAAAAAGAAAAAAAAACAGAAAAAGGGTACAAGTTATACAGAATTTCAGAAAAAATAAACAGTAGGAAATCACTAGTTAACAGATTACATATTGTCATCTTAGAAATAGTTGTTCAAGTTACAAAATTAAAGCATATAAAGTGGAAATTCAAAGAGTGAGACTGCAAATGGAACACAAATACAACCACTGAGTACAATAATTTTTAATACATACCTACTCTATTTTTGTAATGGATTTTTTTTACAATTTTAACCTAATTTCATTTGAAAATTTAATAATAACCTCAACTCCTACTTGTTTAGGTATACATTGAAACAATCTCCTTTAGCTTTTGAATATCATGTTAAATTAATTTACTTAGTGCTCATTTTTGTTACTCTATTATACTTTTAAGAATACTTGGTCCATCAGTCACTATACCCATCCATGCCAATGATGTAATTTCTAGTTTATAACAGTTATCTGACAATACCTGGCTTCTATGCCTGGATTTAGGCACATAAAGAGTATATCATGGCAAATGAGGATGTAGGCTTTTTGTAAATTTAGTGGAACTGTGATGGATCTTATTACTATAGAGTTTCCTACTGAATTTAATATATGCAAATTTCTAGATTGAAACACACATACAATAGCTTCATAACACAGAGGACCCAGATTACAGAAAGGCAATAGTTGGTCATATTTAGGCAATTTCAGTAAGTCCCAAAAGCACAAAAAAAGGAAATAGTACTATGATGATAATCTTACATATTCATTTGGCTAGATTATAGTATCCAGGTATTTAAAAACACGGGTATACACATTACTGTTTTCAAAGTATTTTTTATTTTAAAGAGAATAAAACTAAGTAAAACAAAACAGAACAAAACCAATCAAAACAAACCAGTATAAGCAACACAGGACTTCAAAACAACAGGAAATCAACAATGGTTACCATAATACCTCCAGCCATCCTCCAAACAGCTGTAGATACCCTCATAGTAAAAATCAACAAAACACAACAGAACCAATAAAAACAACACAATCAATGCAATATAGGACTTCAAAACAAGTAATAGTAAATCCAAAATGACTACTATATGTTGCTAACTGAAATAGCTGACCACACCATCAGATACAACAAAATCAAAACAAAATAGAACAAACCCCAACCCAACAAAACAATGAAAATGATACAAGACTTCAAAACACAATAGGGAATCAACAATGGCCACCACCCTCAGAAGGCATCCCCCATAGAAGCTACATTGTGTATTGCCATCTTCTGTACAGATATCAGACCACCAGCTTTAGACCTACAAAGTTAGTGAAACACTAAACACTACTGGCATTAATTTGTATTCCACCTCAATAGCCATTTGCATCTGTGTTTCTCAGGATTAACCAGTCGCTTATGGCAGGGGGCAGAGGGGGTTGGCTCTTTTTATTTCCCAGCCCGCCTGCAATAAGGGGCTCTCCCAAGTGGCCCACATATGGCACTGACTCTCCCCGGAGTGGCCCACGCATGGTACTGACTCACAGGGAGGGCTTGCTTCTTGGTGACTTCCTGTTCTCCTCATCCACAGTCCATGAATGGTACTGACTCATGAGGAAAGCCTGGTGTCTGGTTGATCACCCCTGCCAGCGGCCCATGCATGGCACCAATTTGCACAAAGCCTTGCTTCTTTGGCCCCCTTGAAGTCTGTGAATGGTGCTAACTCATGGGAAGAGGCTGGCATCTGGTTGTATCCCCCAGTGGCCCACGTATGGTACTGATTTGCAGGGAGGGCTTACTTCTTGATGACTTCTTGTTCTCTTCCCCCAGTCTGCAAATGGCATCAACTCATGGGAAAATGCTGGCATCTGGCTATCCCTTCATGGTATTTTGAAAATGTGGTGTACAGCCTATAGTTAGGGTGGTGTCAACTAGATTGACTAGGTCTGCCAAGAGAACTGATGGAGTACTTCTGGGTGTGTCATGGGGGCATGGTATTGGCAACCATATCTGGTCCCTCACTCTCTCTGGGGCTATTCCCCTGTTCTGCTTCCATGAACTAAAGTGCTCTGCTCTGCCCCATGATGTTTTTGCCTTGGAGCCAGCCAACCATGGATTGAATTCTCAGAAACTGTGAGCCAAACTGAATATCTCCTCTTTTAAGTAGTGTCAGATATTATGTTACGGCAATGGGAAAGTGAATACACATCTATAAGTTGAGGTTATGATCATCTTCAGTGTGGATGAGCCTCATCCAATCATTTGAAAGTTGTAACAGCATTAAAAAACTGCAGAGAAAGTCTACTTCAAGATTGTAGCATTAACTCCTGTTGAATTTTCTAACTAACTGATTTCAGACTTGCTGGTCCCCACAATTCATGAGCTAATTTCTTATAATATTTGTTTTTATGAATTTCAATTGGTTTATTTGTTTTGGTATCAGGGATCAAACTCAACCTTGTACTTGCCAGGCAGGGGATTGTGCTGCTGAGCTAAACCCTCTGCTGAAATTTCAATTGTTAAACACATATAATTCCCAAACTTAGGTACATGCCATATGTTTAATACATAATATTTATCACACTTATATAACATTTTAATTATATTTTTATGATTTAATATTTTATATAATTATATATAAATCTAGTGGAGAATCTGACAGATTTTGAAACCAAGAGTCTTTTTTGAGCAATGCAATCTGAAAAATGAGCTTTCTTCATTGGTTGTGTGTTTTTAGTATTGGTTTTCTAATCTGATATGATTTAAAGGCATTAGTGCTTATACATCTGTAATAAAACACTGATTCATGTGGCAAGAGATACATAAATTCTACCATTTGATATTCCTAATCAAATACCTTTTTAAAAAGACAAGGTTCTGAGTGGACATGTTAGTTGAAGTCTCAGAACACTTTGGTCATACAATTGAGTATGAGGCTGAATGGTGGTTTCTAACTGTGCTAGAGAAATGTGGGTAGAGAAAAGTATGACCTTAGGGCTCCAATTCCTAGCTCAAATACAGTATTTATTACATGAGTATTCCTAAATCTTCCCTGACACCTTACCAGCGCAGAGCTAAAATACATGAAAACCCAGCTCAGGTTTATACTGAAAGTGTGTGAATTACAAAGCAAATTGAACACCCAGCTTTCCTGTAGGTTCAAAAGCAATGCTTCCTCCAAGACGAGTGAGCTACTAGACCTTTATGTGGCATACATAAATTTATTTGGAATTCATTTAAGAATCTAGAAAACAAAGAAAGTTGTGTTGAGCTATGTTAAAAATGCTTTTGCTCTAACACTGGAAAATATTCACATTAAAACATTAGCCACATTTTCTAGTATGCCTTATTGAGCCCTTTCACTTATGCTGAAACCAACTGGAATGCAGTTCATTTTTTCCAAATGCAGTCAATTATCCCCAAAATTAAGTAGTTCTTTTGTTCCTTCAGTTTTCAAGTAGGGAAGGAAACTGTGTTTAAAACAAGATTATTTTTAAAATTTTAAGTTAGTCTCAAGCAAACATAATCCAGTTGATTTTTATTATCCAAATTAATGTGAACAGTTTAAAAGAAGTATTTTGTGTTGAGATTTTCTATTAATGTTAGCTGATCAAAAATCCATTTTAAAACTGGACTCTATTTTCCTTATTTGATGATTATTCTAAAAATACTAGAAAAATAAAAACAAAATATTTTTAAAGCTCCATTTAATTTGGACAACCAGACTTGTTAAAACTATGGCATTTGCTCTCATCCTTTTATTATGAAATATTACAGATCAATGTAACAGTTCACAGCAAACATTTTCATATCCTCAAAGGCAACCATTATGATATATAAGTGCTGTTGTTCACACTGTTAATGTTTCATTGTGAATTTTTTCTCTCAATATACCGTGATCAAACCATGAATTACGTGCAAATTTTGTATCTTTTAAATACTGTATAATATCCCACTGTAGAAATAAACATATGGTATTAATCTCTCCCTCTATTGATAGAAGCTTATATTCCAATTTAGGGCAATAAAAAGCCATAATACAGTAAACATAGTGACAGGTATATTTTTTGTACATATAAGGGTGTACTTTTGAGACCAATACACCAAAACAGAACAGTCTCTTGTTTATGTGTTTCAAAAAAATTCCCATTACTCTGAAGTAACACACTTTATTTTCATCAGCATTCTGGAATTTTAATTTTATATTTTGGTCTTCAACCTACTTGGGATTTATTTTTGTATATAGTATAAGATAGAGAGCAAACATTTTGTGCATATAAACTTTCCATTTATTGAGTAGTCCTTTTTTTTTTACAATGATTTTAACAGCATTATGGTACACAAATTTCCACATGTTCTTAGATTGTTCTATCAATGTTCAATTTGTTTTTGCTGATTATCTAATCATAGAATGGCACAATTTAAATGACAATGGCTCTAGATATGGTATGTAATGATCATAGTGTATTTTTCTTAGCTGTTTTGCTTTCTTAAATTTATTTCAGCTATTGTGATCGTTTAGCTTCCCATATATTTCAAAGCAGTCTGTGAAATTCTTTTAACTAACTGGTGTAAGTTTTGAGTAGAAGTACACTAGAGACTTTGGAGAGAACATGTTTATACAATGTCAAGTCTCTTCAGAAATAATTTTGTTTTAGTTTTATAGGTGTTGTTTTGAGCCCTTCAACATGTATCTTTGTAGATATAAATGTCTCATAACTCATTTTTATTCTTACATATTTTCAGCACATTTTTAATTAGCTATGTTTACATAAAAGGCTATTTTATGGTTCTTTTCCCAATCTTCTTTTTCTATTTTAATATATTAGCTGGGAGCTTAAGAAGTATGTTGATATGCCAATAGCAGATATCTTCTTCCAGATTTGAATGACAGTATTAATCCCATTAATGAGTAAGGCATCTGCTGAGGGTTTTTAACAATTTTATCATACAACTGTTTACCTTGATAATAATGCTGTAATGTTTTATAATTCGTGAATGTCCTCAAAAGTCTTTTCCATATTCACTAGTTTTTTGCTCTAGAACCAATCATGTAACGTGCTACAAAGTGTTAATTCCTTCTAAGGGCTTTCCCATACTCACACTACAAACACTGTTTCTGATGAATATGTATTCTCTGATGTCTAACAAGGTGTGACTTTTGACTGAAAGCTTTGCCACACTCAATACAGTTATAAGGCTTTTCACCTGTATGTTTCCTCATATGAAGAGTGAGAGAGGAGATCTGAGAAAAGGCTTTTCCGCATTTGCTGCAGTCAAAGGGTTTCTCACCCGTATGACCTCGTATATGTATAGTGAGGGAGGAACTCTGGGAGAAAGCTTTTCCACATTTATTACATTCATAGGGTTTCTCACCTGTATGACCTCTCATGTGCACTATAAGGGAAGTTCTCTGAGAGAAGGCTTTCCCACATTCATTACATACATAGGGCTTCTCACCAGTATGACTTCTCATATGTAAATTAAGCAGTGAGCACTGAGAGAAGGCTTTCCCACACTTATCACATTCATAAGGCTTTTCTCCTGTGTGACTTCTCAAATGAAGAGTAAGAGATGCAATTTGAGAGAAGGCTTTTCCACATTTATTACAGTCATAAGGTTTCTCTCCAGTATGAACTTTCTGATGAGTGATAAAATTCTGTTTTTGGCTGAAGGCTTTACCACATTCATTACATTCATAGGGTTTCTCCCCAGAATGAATTTTTTCATGAGCAATGAGATTTGATTTCTGGCTAAAAGCTTTGCCACATTCCTTACATACATAAGGTTTTTCTCCAGTATGAATTCTCTGGTGTCTAACAAGATTTGACATCTGAATAAAAGCTTTCCCACATTCATTACATTCATAAGGTTTCTCTTTAGTATGAATTTTCTGGTGTGTAATGAAGTTTTTCTTGTGGCTGAAGGCTTTCCTACATTCCTCACATTCATAAGGTTTCTCACCAGTGTGACTTCTCATATGTACTGTAAGGGCCGAGCTTTGAGAGAAAGATTTTCCACACTCATTGCATTCATAGGGTTTCTCACCTGTGTGTATTCTCACATGTATAATAAGCATGGAAAATTGAGAAAAGGCTTTTCCACATTTGTCACATTTGTAAGGTTTTTCTCCTGTGTGACTTCTCATGTGAAGAGCAAGGGATGCAATTCGAGGGAAGGCTTTACCACATTCATTACAAGCATAAGGTTTCTCTCCAGTGTGAACTTTCTGGTGTGCAATGAGGCTTTGTTTCTGGCTGAAGGCTTTTCCACACTCATTACATTCATAAGGTTTCTCTCCAGTATGAATTTTTTCATGATCAATGAGATTTGATTTCTGGCTGAAGGATTTCCCACATTCATTACATGCATAGGGTTTCTCTCCTGTATGAATTCTTTGATGTCTAATAAGATTTGACATTTTAATAAAAGTCTTCCCACATTCATTACATTCATAAGACTGTTCTCTACTGTGAATTTTGTGATGTTTAATGAGCTTTTCTTTGTGATTAAAGGCTTTTCTACATTTGTTACATTCGTAGGGTTTCTCTCCAGAATGAATTCTTAGGTGTCTGATGAGGTCCAATGTTTGACTAAAACCTCTTCCACAATGATTACACTTAAAGGGTGTTACTACAAGAGAGGATGAACTATTGCCATATGAATTCACAACTTTACTATATTCAAAATGTTCCTTTCTTATAAGGCATTTCACATTATGACAGTCAAAATTATGTTCTAAACAGTTTTCAAACAAATCATATTCATAGAGGTTATGTCTGGAAGAAATAAAATCTGAATTCAGAGGAAATGCATTTGTGAATTTCTTGTGACATTCATTGACTTCTTTAGTCAGTGTTTTCTTGAAAAGGTGTGTCAAAAATTTGTCCTGGGTTTTCTGATGCTCATCAATTCCCCATATTTCTCCTACAATAGATTGCAAATAAATATCACTGGTGAATTTTTTTAATATTATAATATCAAAACTTTTTTATTTTGAGAATGATACTTAAGACTTGTATTCTATTATTAAACAAATTTCAAGTTCATATATTTCATATGTCTTCAGTTTTGAGAAAGAAATTCCATGAAAGGAAATATGAGTAGAGGCATGTATTTATTAACATAAATAGCTTTGTTTGTAAGTGGAATCTGAAAGAAAACAACCTGTTAAGTAATGAAAAGAAGATGTACAATGTACAAATAAAGAAAGAAAAAATGATAGAAAAGTGATAAAAAAAGGAAGCTAAAAACCATAAGACCATTTTTCAATATTCTACTGAAATATATTTTTATAAACAGATGTGATTTCTATACTAGAAAATGTACATTACCAAAACTAACTCTAGAAGATGCAGAAAAATTCATAAAAACAAAACAAAAAGAAAATTTACTCAGATTCATATGAAAATTTTAAAATATGTAGGGGCAACTTCTATGCTGTATAACACATTATCAAAGAAAGAAAAGAGATCTCCTGATTATTATATGTCAAACAGTATTAATCCCAAAATTTGACAAAGATGATACACCACAAAAGAAATCTATATGCCAATCTCATTTTCAAAAAGTAACAAAAATTTGTATGTAAGGTATCAAAATGATCCAGAAAAGAGGAAAAAATGACCCAGAATGAAAAAAAGTAATCCAGAGCCAGATTAATATAAAATGTATTTCTTAGTGGATTTTTCCCAGGAATATAACTGTGTTTTAATACTAGAAGTTCTATTACTATAAGGAAATGTATTATTGAGTTAATAATGAAAAATTGAGTTATATATAGATACTAAGAAGATGCTAAAATATAGCATCTATTTTCTATTAAAAAATTTATAAAATGAGAATAGACAGATTGAGAAAAAAGTACAGTATAATTTAAAAACTAATACTACATCAAATGGGAAAAACCCAGAATCAATTAAAGTTGAAAATATGAAAAGATGAGTACTATCACCACTATTATCATACTATTATTATTATTATATTTTTCATCGGTACCAGGGATCAAACTCACGACTGCCTGCTTACAAGGCAGGTGCTTATGCCACTGAGCTAAATCCCCAGCCTATCATACTATTATTGCAATTAAATAAGAGAAGTAAATCAGAGGTAAAAAAGGTTAGGGAAGGAAAAATTAATACTATTTGTCAATAATAAACTTCTTTGCCTTAAAAATAGTTTTTTGAGAAGAAAGTCACTAAATTTACTTTAAGTACAAACAAGTACTTGATTTCAATAACCTTTATTATATCAACAACTAATTTAGGAAACATAATAGAAGAAATTCTTTTACAAGAGGCAACAAAAACATGAAAATAAAAACTAGAGAAAAAGTTAAAACTAGGGAAAAAGTTAGATGTTCAAAAACTCTAAACTGAACATACAGACCTGAACAAATGGAAGGGTGTTTGTTAATTCAATTGTGTGCCCTCTAAAAAGATACAGTGAAGTCCTAACTTGTAGTACCTCAAAATGTGGCCTTAATTGATAATAGGGTCATTGCAGACATAATTAAGAGTAGGTTATACTAGAACAGACTAAGCCCCTAATCTAGTTTGACTATTTTTCCCCCATGGTACCTGAGATTAAACCCAGTGACGTTTTACCTTTGAGCTACATCCCCAGACTTTCATTTTTTACTTTGAAATAAGATCTTGCTAAGTTACCTATGCTGATCTCTAACTTTTAATCCTCCTGCCCCAGCACCCCCAAGTAGTTGAGATCACAGATATGTGCCACTGTACTGAGCATGATGGGTGTTCATATACAAAGATGCTACATGAAGTAATAAAGATAATGCTCTGTGAAGATGGGACACAAATTGGAGTTATGCTGCCATAAACCAAGGAATATCTGGGACTATCACCTATAGGTTTCAGAGAAAACATGGCCATACTAACATCCTAATTATGGACTTGTAGCTTCCAGAACTGGAATAATAAGTTTCTATTATTCTTTTTTTTTTGTTTTTGGTACTGGGGATCGAACTCACAACTACGCGGTTGCAAAACAGGTGCTTATACTGCTGAGCTAAATCCCCAGCCCCAAGTTTCTATTATTCTAATTTACCAAATTTGTAGTACATAGTTTTAGTATCCCTAGGAAATTAAAAGGCGTAATACATCCTTGAAAGAGAACATTCGAGGTGCTGAAAATGGCGGCGAGCTAGGGGATCGAGCGAAGAGTCTCTCCAGAGAATTCAAACTCAAAGCTAAAAAAAGACAGCATGGAGAGGACCAGACAAATCGATAGCGATTCTTATTAACCAAGACAGTACAGCTGGAGGATTTAAAGTCGTGCTGAGACCGGAGGCTGCAAATCCCGCGCCCTTAAATCAACAAACAGACTCGTGGACCCAGCACGAAAAGCTGAGTTGCTTTTGGGGACCGCGGGAAACTGAGACCCAGATCGAGACTCCAAGTAGCAGCCAGTTCTGCACCGCTGCACCAGAGCGGATGTACAAAGCTCTGGCGTTTCAAATCTAAACGGTGCACAGAAATCTGACCGGTCAGCGCTGAGCTGCGAGTGGGGGAAAAGTAGACAGCTTGGTGTGCGGCGGTCCCGGAACGAGGACTTGCACCGGACTCTGGTGAGTACAGAAAACCCCGCGGCTGCTGGGTTTGGCGAGAGAACAGCTGGCCCGCCACCACGGGGAAATCAATAACACAGAGTCTGGTGCAGACATATTAGCCTGGCGGCAGAAACCGCAGCTTGGTGACATCACCAGGTCCCCCTGTAGGGAGGGCTGGTGGAAGACATCTTGAGTCCTGGCAGAGCCTGATTACTTGCTGGCTTCAGCTCCACACAGAGAACTTAGTGGGAGCCATCTTGGTTTTGGGCAGATCTGCTTTTCTGGTGCTCCTATCACAGAGAGGTTTGGAAGAGAACGGCTGGGACCTGGGCAGAATCCTGTGCCATTACTCAGCTGCTTCTGATTCAAAGAGAACTGGCAGGAGCTACTGGGGCTAAACCAAGCCTCTGCTTGGGGCCCAATAAGCAGATACAAAATAGTCACAACTCAGTGACAACCAGAAAGTACAGCCTAATTTATGAACTAACTGACACAGAGGCTAGAGACTAGACTGTACCGCCCCTACATCCCAGCCTACCCCAGATAACAGCAAATTGGGGAGGACAGCAAAAACTCAAGCCAGCACGCTTCTGAAAGGCCCTAAGCAATTCGGAGAGGGCCAGAGAACTCCAGGACAGTCTGAAAGAAACCAGAAACATGACAAGAGATAAAAATAAAAAAAAAAATCTCCAGCTGTTCAACAGGAGAAATTAAACCCAAGAGAACTAAACACTGAAGAGAACAAGCACAGTAACCATCCTCTACTCGACACAGCATCAGCCGAAATTAAAAAGTACTTACATGATCTCATAGAGGAATTTAAAGATGTACTCCTGATCCAAGTGAGGCAAGATATAAAGAGATTAATTAAAGAAATGACAAGCCCCGCCCAAGAGAACACAGATGGAAGAACTGAGGAAATCAGAAAAGAAAGAGAAGTATCTGAAGAAGAATTTAAGCATAACTTAGAATACATGAAACAGATCCAAAGAGAATATCAGGAAACTAAGAACTCCATTGAATATTGGCAAAATGCCTTGACAGAAACTAAAGACAACCTTCTGAAACTTGAAGAGAGATTTAGGGCTTATGAACGTGAAAGAAAAAGCCTCTTAAAAATAACAAGGAACCAGAAAGAAGCAATTCTAAAACTGGAAGATGATAAAAAGATACATAACCTAAGAATAAAGAATGTGAGTGAGGAAGAAGGAACATCCAAAAATGAAATACAAAAAATATTCACAGAGATATTAAAGCAAAATTTCCCACGTATAGCAAAAAGAAATGATATCCAGATAAAAGAAGCATACAGAACGCCAGCTACCTACAACCAAAACAGATCTACGCCTAGGCATATAATAATCGAGATCCCAGAAATCCACCAAAAAAACAGAATATTAAAAGCAGCCAGAGAAAGGATGCAGGTTACCTATAACGGGAAATCTATCAAAATAACAGCAGACTTATCAACACAAACTCTTAAGTCAAGAAGGGAGTGGGGAGAAATATTCCAAGTCCTGAAGGAAAAAAATATGCAACCTAAGTTCATATATCCGTCAAAACTCTCTCTAAAAATTAATGAAGAAATAAGATACTTTCAAGACAAGGAGGAACTGTGGGAGTTCGTGGCCACCAATCCAACCCTACAGAGAGCGCTGAAGGACATTACAGAGAAAGAGAGAAAGAGATATCAGGATTCCAGCTACAGTGGCAGAGAAGCCTCAGTGAACGGGGCAGACCATGGAATGAGAGAATAAGGTGGACAAATTATAGCAGAAAAGTGGAGTAGCAGACATGAGGCAGAGACGGTAAGCTAGTCTTTAGTAGAGACAGCTCTGAAACTATATTTAAAAAAAAAAAAGCAGAGGTCATTGCTAATGGTGTATAACGATTTAAAAGACACAGTAGTCCTAGTGCCATATTTAGATTGAATTAAATTTGTTCTGGTCTGTCCACTCATATCAGATTTGAGGACACAGACCTCTAGAACCAAAATTAGCAGGTTATACCACGGTAACTATCTTTACTTTCCTATTGACTTAGGCTGAAATTCTGTATTACTTACATTGTCTTACTATGACTGATCTTAATTGTATCTGAATCATAAGACTATTGGTTGGCCTTGACTGATCCTATTTGAAATCGGTATGCGTGTTAGAATCAACCCTAAAAGTAGAGGAAACTACTCTGAGCATGACAAGATGTAAAGGATATCCATACTGGTATGAATCAGTAACAGCTCTCAAATACTACAATGCAGTCAAAGACAAGTTTTTATAAAAATAGGTGATAGTATGTTTAACTATAATAAGCCAGTGTTGTCGACAAATCTATTGAAAATAACAAGAGAAAACAT